GAAGTAGCGGTGGACGCGGCTGCTTGCTGTCCTCGCGGGGGCTTCTTGCAGTTCCGCTGGATGTGGCCCTTCTCGCCACAGTTGAAGCAGGACCGCTCCTCAGGTCCACGTCGGTCCGCTGCTACTCGTTCGCCACGGCGGCCCCAGCCCTTGGTCTTGGGCATCGCCTCGGCGCGTTCGGCCAGTTGCTGGTCCATGCGCAGGGCGACCTTCTGCGCCTTCTCCAGTGTGTCGACCTCGTGCGCCGTGACCGCGAACTCGTTCTGGATCTTGTACGGCAAACCATCTACATAGCGCGCCCGCTTGTCCTCGTCGGAGAGCGGAGTGCGTGCCGCGATAGCGTTGAAGTTCGCTGTGTAGTCCTTGGCTGTGCCGAGCTTGTGCGATGCCTTGCACAGCTTGACGAGTTCGGAGAGTGCGGCCTTCTTGTCGTCGACCGCGCAGAAGTGGGCCTTGAAGGCCGTCTCGAAGGCATCCACGTTCGACCAAACGACCTTGCCGTCAGTGAGATCGATGATGTGGGGCCCAGCCCATCGAGCGGCGTCGTCCGTCAACTTGTTCAATACCATGATCCATGCAAGGTTGGCCGCGATCGACGAAGCTACCAGCTGCGTATGGTAGAGCTTGGCCATGGCAGCGAAGCGGAGTCCGGCCTGAGCTTCCTTGCCATCGTAGTCTCGGGGTGCGAGTTGGCTGAGAAGCTTGGAATCGATGGCCGACATGGTAGGGGATGGACTACGAGGGGATTGCACGCTTGATTCGGAGTGTGATGGGTTTCGTGGGGGTCTCGGGGGTGGTTCGGTGGTTTTCGGAGGTTCAAACGCACCTGAAGCTCGTCGTTCTAGACGATTGGTGACGAGCGAGATGGTGGTGTCGAGCGGGATACGAGATCCTCCGGCAGGAGATTCAGTTCGGGGAGAGCCGCCTGGGCTAGGGATACGGCTTGGGGCGCGGGTTGCTGAGCGACTGGGCTGTCTAGTCCCTGGTAGGCTGATGGATGCGAGTACGGCTGCTCGTAGCGGCCGTCCTGACTCAGTTGTCGTTGGGAGGGGAGTCGCTAAGCGAACCTGGATGAGCGCGCCTTGTTCCACCTCAGGTCGTATGTGGTGTGGGAACTGGGACCAGTCGGTGTCACTGTCGTCCCCGTTGTCCAACCGGTGAGGGCAGGGTTGGCTCGGGCAGATGTGCCACCGCTGATAGTTGAGGTTGTAGTGTTGGTCTTCTACGGCGACAGGATGAAAGCCGTGGAAAAACGAGCTACAATCCAGGATGGAAAGGTGGGGGGGACAGTGATAAACGGAGTGTTAAACGTGGGAGGGCGCTGGTGCCTGTGAGGTAGTTTCGACCTAATGTTACGACTGACTGTCGAGCGAGTAAGTGGAGACGAGCGAGGCAGGCAGGAGCGCCGACGAGCTCTGATCGCAGTGAGACTGGAGCGGAGCTCAACAGGCAGGACTGGAGACAAGTTGTGTATTGAGCGAGGTATCTACAGAGCGAAATACACGATGGCTTACCTGGAGACAAGAGGTCGAAACTAGAGTCTCCAGGTAGCAAGGGATCCAGCTATATACAGGGAACGAACAATGGGCGCTAGAGAAC